AAATAGCTATATTTGTGTTGTAGTCATGGCGACCCCTGGTTCCTATCACCACCACTGTAAAGAAGTCTGAGTCTCTACCATCAACCATTTCACACCAAACCACTCTGAATGACTCTTTACAGCTCTGTAACAGAATACATATATATATATATATATATATAGAGAGAGAGAGAGAGAGAGAGAGAGAGAGATAGATAGATAATGAAATTGAGCTTAAAGCGAAGTGCTTCAATTAAAAATAGAGTAGTATAATTACTAGTAATATTGGATTAGTATCAGCATGAGAAAAGAAAAAGTGTCATCACTCCATCTCTGTACAGAAGTGAAACAGAAATGCTGATGCATTTTGCTTTAATGTTTTAAGTCCGATTACTACGACAACAAGGCCGCAGTGCCTGGCAAAAGCACAATTAACAAAGCTTATTCTTAGAAAACAAGTACATTTAAAGGCACACAAAGTGCATTTATTGACAGGAGGCACTTTATGTTCTCAGTTTTACCATCATTTTCTCCTCAGCTGTCCCAGAGGAAGACCTACACACCCCCATTACATAAGACTACAAAGAGGAAAAGGGCCCGTTTCTAGGTTAGGCTTTCATATATAGCATCATTTCCCCTTGAAGAGGCACACAAGGTCATTGTTAAAGCGCGGGCACGCTGGCTGAAAGATCCTGGGGGCAGAAAGGATGGAAATCAGCGTCAGTGATGTGAGGAAGAGAGATATTTGTGGCATCTACAGTAGCAGAGGGAGCTTTCGGCTGGCTGGATGAGAAGTGACAGTGTTTGCATGTGTCACCACGTCTTTACTTACAGAACGAGTGAGAACTGCAGAGGCAGCTCCTCAGCAGTCAGACGCCGGCAGAGCAACGGCTTTCACCACTTACGCCGCAGCACGAACACACAGGATCAGAGAACAGAGAGGGCTGAATCTGTACATCAGACGCTCTACTGCAGCTCAGTGAGGTCTACAGTAATTTACAGTAAGAGAGTTTAACGGAACCGAATACTAATAAACAAGAAAAAACTACAGAGATAAACTACGGCGCCCCAGTGGTGACATCACCTCCTAATAAAAACAATGTGTGGTGACGGCTTACTTAGGCACGGGAATGGGATCCTAATGGTGGCCATGACTTACTAAGGCATTCAAACAAGATAGTTATGGCCACACCTTAGTAAGGTGTGAGAACAAGATAGTTAAGCCATGGCCATGACTTACTAAAGTGTGGGAATGAGATAGTTAAGCCGGGGCCACAGCTTTGGAATACGAACAAGATGGTTAAGTCGCAGTCATGACTTAGTAAAGTGTGAGAACAAGATAATTCCACTTTAACTGTGGGAATGAGATTCCTATGGTGGCCATGACTTAGAAAGGTGTGAGAACAAGATAGTTAAGTCGTGGCCGTGACTTACTAAAGTGTGGAAATGAGATAGATAAGCCATGGCCACAACTTTGTAAGGAACGAGAAAAAGATGGTTAGGCCGCAGCCACAACTTAGTAAAGTGTGAGAACAAGATAGTTAAGTCCTGGCACAACTTGGTAAGGCGTGAGAACAAGATAATTCTATTTGAACTGTGAGAATGAGATTCCTATGGTGGCCATAACTTAGAAAGGCATGAGAACAAAATAGTTAAGCTGTGGCCACGATTTACAGATGTGAGGGAATGAGATAGATAAGCCATGGCCACAACTCTGTAAGGAATGAGAACAAGATAGTTAAATTGTGGCCACAACTTGGTAAGGTGTGGGAACAAGATAATTAAGTCATAGCCACAACTTAGCAAGCACATTCATTAGGGGTGGGAATCTCTAGGCACCTCACGATTCGATTCGATTATGATTCAGAGGCTGCGATGCGATTATAAAATGATTATCGATGCATCTTATTTTTCTATACAGCATTTCTATTTTCTTACTGTCTGAGGACTTGGTAATGTTAAAGCAAAGTATTTATAATGATCCATAATGAATTTACTTCCAATATCTTTTATTAATAAGTCAAATGGAAGTGATGTGGCAAGTGAACTGGAAGGCTCTCATTCACTGATCTTGATTGATTGGAGTACATGAGAAGCTGCTGCCGCTCATCTGCGATAAAATGCGCAGTTCTGGTGAAATAAGATCCAGTAGTGATGGATGACCACGCAGCGCGTTACAGCCGTCCTGCCCGTTTTCTTTAGTGATTTTATCACGGTTTTGGTCTCGTTGTAGAGACGGGAGACGGGAGACGGGAGGCGGGGGGGTGGGGGTCGCTGTGTCAGTGAAATATCTTCGAGACGGGTCGTGTGCAACATAGCGAGAAAGCCCTGTTTCGCAACGACTCCGCAGACTGCAGGTCACTTATAAACGACGCGTTATTCGCATTCATAATCAGCGCAGTTGGTTTCCTGGTCCGTTAAATCTGCAACGAGAGACTGTCAAACACTAAAAAGTTGCGAAGATGAAGTCAGTTTCTCTTTTGAATTGTCCCGTTCCACCTTAAATGGTGCCGCATTTACATTCGGCGCCTCAGTCAGAATTTAAGGTGGAACGGGTAAATTCGAACAAGAAGCTGGAGAATAAAAAGCGACTTCAGCCTCGTAAAACAGCCGAACGCTGAGACATTTTACAATAAGCTGCTCTACTTTTGAGGAAGAGTTTTCTGGCGGAGATGGGAGGAAAGCGGCTATAGCTAAAGCTTAAAGCAGAGTAGAGTATGTCCGCGTTTTCGTTTATATTGTTTAGTTTATATTAGGACATTATCACATACTGAGACATACTGGACATTAAATGTTGTGGCTCCCAAGCTGGTTTGATTTTTGTTTAAAGGCCAAAATGGCTCTTCTGATCATTTGTGTTGTGACTCCTGATCTAACCTGGCTTTAATGCAGAGGGAGCCGGTCGGATTTCTCACTCATCCTGTGGTGTTTTTGTTGTGTGCCGCCGCAGACTGTCCGGGCGCTGCACTTACCCACTTCCAAGTTCCGCCCTTTGCGTTCCGTCAACATTACATTATAAATTAAATATTTAGAAAATCGATTTTTGACATTTGTGAATCGATTCAGAATCGTTCACGTCCGCATCGCGATGCATCTAAGAATCGATTTTTCCCCGCACCCCTAACATTCATGGAGAAAACAAATGTTCTGTACACAAATGACTGAGAATGACACAAAAAACTGAATATGAACATCATTTAGGGTTTTTATCTGAAGCGATTTATCTGGACAGTACGCATTTATTTAAAAATGACTAACATTGGAATAAGTACAAATAAATGTTCCTATCAATAAACTATAATTCAGCACATCAATAAGGGAAAATACTGTATTTATTCTAATGTTTACCATTTTGTTGGCTAGTTAAGACATTAACATAGAAACGCTCAAACTACAAGACATTACAGGAACTTATATGAAGCAAAGAAATCCGCTCAGTAACTCAGTCATTTGATCAACATTCAACAGTGAACACACTCCGTTGTGATCAATCCGGTCAAATGGAAAATCTGAGCATAAACCTCATGTCTGAAGTTAAAAGTGAGTTAGGATCAATTAGCTATTTGCCATTTAGAGGGAAACAAGTTAAGCCTGCACACGATTAGAGATCATTCTGATTTGGTTTGGAAGCTTTTCTGAGTGGAGTAAACGTCCTCACAGCCTCAGAGGCTGAGCGATAAGAGGAACTTCTTTTAAGGGGAAACATTATTAAAATGGAATACATGCCAACCAATCACCATCTACGGCTATGCCATGCCCACTTAATGAGGTATCTGCAAGGCCAGAGAACAGGGTCTCGATCTGTTCAGCTGTTGTGATTTTTGTTGGGTTTTTCTTCACCAGAGAAAGAATTCTTCCAGTTTTTTCCCCATGGTCATTTGGGCCTTTTGGCCTTTCTGAGCTCAGCAGTGCGCTTTCGTTTTATGGATGTATCAAACGGTTGATCTGACCACTCTGAATGTTGTTGCTATTTATACGACTGAAGTTTGTTTTGACTTTTTTAGCCTCATGATGGCTCGCAAGTAAAACAAAGGCAGGCGTGTCAAACTGGGGACCTTCTGGGCCAAAGTGCTTTGGATATTAGCGTTTACCCTCATGTAACACTCCGAACTCTGTTGAAGGCCTTGCTAATTAGATGATGAGCTGAATCACGTGTGTTTAATGCGACAGTGTGCTGAAGTCTGCAGAGTTTTGGCCTGTGAGGACTGGAGTCTGACACATGTGCAATAAGGGAAAAACAAATACTCGACCATGGAACGGCTGAGCAGACAATTGGGGGGGGGGCTATGTATGAACAAGGTAATTCCTACACCGTTCACCCCATTTGGATGTATTTTTTTATTTTGCCCTCACATTAAAGCTGAAAGTCTGTACTTTAAGCTCATATTTAATAATTATCATGTTACAATTATCATTATTTAATTTCAGTATTTTAATTTTAATACAAATATGCTGAGTTGACAGCTAAAAGAATAACTTCTACATCTAAAAAACAAACCTGAATGTATGAACTGAGTAGCGTTTCTACTATCTTAACAGCACTTCCAGCTCCACGTGACTTAAAAACAAAACAAGTTTTATTCTCACTCAGCCATTTTTTTTCCAAATCAGTGACAAAATATTAAATTAACAAAATTACAGGTGGACAATGTTTCGGTGGTCAACATATCATTCACCAATAAATGGAAACGTAATCATTAGTTGGTGAAATTACAGCCATTAATCAAAACTGATAACTTTGTGCCCTGTTTTCTAATCACTACACGTAATATATGGATTAACCTTTGAATGTTTTAAATGTTTTAAAATAGTAATTGGTATGGTAATCATTCACAATAAGGCGCCATTTGTTACCATTATCAGCCCAGAAACTCTTTTTTTGGCTCAAACCTAAATAAAATATATTTTATTATTGTCAATAAAAACATTTTTTACACCACTGATCACCGTGGTGTGTATTAACAACTGGAGAAAACTCCTCCTTTCTGAGTCACCAACACATCAATAAATCAAGTCATTTATTCAAATGTAAAGGGTCATTGTTTAATAATCAACTGTTTTAATTACATTATAAAGACAGGAAAAACAAACACGTTTGATCCGTAAAATACAAAATAACCTCCAAAGATACAAAAAAATTCAGGGTTTCCTACAGTTCAATGTAAATCTAAAACCGCCAGGAAGTCCCTTCAGCGTACGACACCAACATCGGCACAGCACATTAACACGTTGAGCTTCTCGGCCACGCCCCCCTCAAAGCACCTCATCAGGGCCTGCATTGCAATGTACAGCAGAACTACAGGTGGCAGAAGCGAGCAGATTTCTCAGAGCCACAGTGAAGACGACTGTGATGCTGTTCCCGTCCTCCTGCAGGCCGTTATCTGCGTCTCCTGGGCGAGCTCTCCTCTCTCCTCCTGGACTCCCTGTATCTGTTCTCCTTGTCCTCCCTCTCCACTCCATTCCTGTACGAGTCTCTGGAGTCCGTCTCCTTGCGGCTCCTCTCTCGTGACTTTGACCTCTCTCTGCTCCGGCGCCTTCGCTCCCCGTCCCGCTCTGCCTGGGAGATGTTTTTGCTGCCATCCTTTGTGCTGTATTTCCTGGAGTCTTCATCTTCGTGCCTTCGGTTCTGCTGGTCCTTGTAAGCTCCACGTTCTGGCTCTCGCCGTTCTCGTGGAGAATCTTTTCGAGTACGGTCCCTTGGACTGGGCGAATCGCTTCTACTTCGTTCTCCTTGACTGGGAGAATCATTTCTGCCACGTTCTCGAGAACGAGGTGAATCTTTTCTAGAACGTTCGCGTGGACTGGGTGAATCTTTTCTAGAACGTTCGCGTGGACTGAGTGAATCTTTTCTAGAACGTCCGCGTGGACTGGCCGATTTTTTTCTAGTGCGTTCACGTGGACGGAGTGAATCTTTTCTAGTGCGTTCTCTTCGATTACGTGAATCTTTGCTAGTACGTTCTTGTGGGCTGGGTGAACTGCTCCTAGTACGTTTTTGTGGACTTGGTGAATCACTTCTAGCACGTTCTCTCGGATTGGGAGAATCTTTTCTAGCACGTTCCCTCGGATTGGGAGAATTTTTTCTAGCACGTTCTCGTGGATTAGGCGAATCTTTTCTAGTACGTTCTCTTGGACTGGGCGAGTCACTTCTAGTACGCTCTCTCGGATTGGGCACGTTTTTTCTAGCACGATCTCGTGAATTAGGTGAATCTTTTCTAGTACGTTCTTGTGCCTTGGGTGAATCACTTCTACCACGTTCTCTTGGAATGGGTGAATTATTTCGACCACGTTCTCTTGGAATGGGTGAATTATTTCGACCACGTTCTCTTGGAATGGGTGAATTATTTCGACCACGTTCTCTTGGCTTGGGTGAGTCTTTTCTTGTTCGTTCTCGTGCATTAGCCAAATCGTTTCTGGCACGTTCTCTTGGATTGGGTGAATCCCTCCGAGTACGTTCTCGTGCATTTGGAGAGTCTTCTCTCATACGCTCTCGCCCCAGGGGTGATTTGTCTTCTCTTCTACGGTGCTGCATGTCTCTGTGACGATCGCCAGGACCTCTGCGCTCCTCGCTGCTGCTTCTGTCCCGTCTCGGGTTCTCCTGTCTCCTGTTGGGCCGCTCCTTCACAGGAGACTTGCGTTTGGAGCTTTTCTGCTCTTTTTTTCCTCGCTGGGACGCTTTTTTACGCTTTGTGTCCGAGTCAGAACCTGAGGAGGAACAGAAATATGGAAATCGGTTAGAAATCACACGCTGAAAAAAAAAAAAAAAAAAAGAAAAAAATACAACCACTTATTCAGCAGGGAAGCAGGGACACCCCTTGCATCGTCTACTATACGTAGCTTGACTTTTGGCTTAAAGCAACAGTTTGGTGGGATATATAAATTTCCCCTTACCCCAAAAGTACATTACATGTCAACAAATTTAAATGAGAAAGTCATTAAATCAAAGTCAAATTAGAAATTAAATTAGGATAGTTAGATAATCAAATTAAACATTAAAAGTCAGATCAGGATAAAAAGAACTTGAGGCAAGTTTGACAATCTAGGCATGCAGTTTGTGTCGACTGGTGGGGTTTGAGCTTTTACTGCTTGTTAGCTGCTTTAGCTTTGTAGTGTCAGTGTGGAACTAAAGAAGCTTCAGACACCAAACGTTTCTTGGCTGATTGACTCCGTTCAGGATAAAGGAAACTGTGTAGATTTTAAAGAGACTGTGTCTTTAAATCTATAACTACACTAAGTCATCCAATAAATACTGGATCAGGAAGAAAAGGAGGTCGCTCAATAACAGCTCTGATTTCCTGTGAGTGGAACCCGTTTCAGGCTGCATGTGAGAGTGATGTGTGGTGATGACAGACTGTGTGGTTTAACCAGAGCCTCCAGAGTTCTGTGTTCTCTTTAGAACCCTGCCAGTGGGATTTCACTACGGACCAACACAGCCTGCAACCAGGTCATAACTGCCTAACTTTAAATGCCTCTGAGTGCGAGTCTCCGTACGTGACTCTACATTTGAGTCAGTGATGCACTAAAAAGATTTCATGTGTGCCTTTTTTTCGGTTCCACTGCATAAATTATATTAATTTATTTTTGTTGTTTGATGTGCTGTCAGCGATGCCCACTGCAGGAGGGCAGATAAACAGAGCTTTTTTTGGACGACTACTTCAAAAACTCAGTAATACTGAAATGATTTACAGTGTTATGCATTCAAAAGTCTGTGGACACCTGCTCGTCCAGCGTTTCCTCTGAAATGAAGGGTATCAATAGTGAGTTTGTTCCTCCTTTGCTGCAGTAACAGCCTCTACTCTTCTGGGAAGGCTTTCCTAGATACTGGAACATTGCTGCGAGGATTTGATTGAGCATTAGTGAGGTCAGGTACTGATGTTGGATGGTCAGTTCTGGATCACTCCAACTCATCCCAAAGGTATTGGATGGAGCTCCATCACTCCAGAGAACACAGTTCCACTGCTCCACAGCCCAATGCTGGGGGGCTTTAGACCCCTCTAGCCCATGCTTGCCATTGGACATGCAATTACTAGCCGAATTTACTAAGTACTAATAAATTCATTAATTAGAATTCCCTGGATTTCCTAATAAGTAGCTGAATTCACAAACTATAATTCCCTAATTAATAAATTCAGCTCCCAGTAATAGATTCATTAATTGGAATTCCCTGAACTTCCTAATCAGTAGCTAAATTCCCTAATTTAAATTCCCTAATTAGCAGCTGAATATACTACGTTATAAATGTGTAATGTACGTGAAATTCATTAATTAGAATTCCCTGAATTTTCTAATCAGTAGCTGAATTAGGGATTCCCTAAATATTTACTACATAGTGATAGTCATTAATAAGAATTCCCTAATTAGTAGCTGAATTCATTAAGTAGTGATAAATTCATTAATTAGAATTTGCTAATTAGAATTTCCTAATTAGTAGCTGAATTCACTACATAGTGATAAATTAATCAAAATTCCTTAATTAGTAGGTTAATTAATTAAGTTGTGATAAATTCATTAATCAGAATTCCTTAATTTGTAGCTGAATTCACCAAGTAGTGATAATTAATTAGAATTCCCTGAAATTCCTAATTAGTAGCTGAATTCCCTAATTTTAAAGGGTGTCTTGATACTTATGGACACGCATAAATGTCTTTCCCAGTCAAATGTTTTGCAATTTTTCCCCTCATACTAAACTGAAGGGTCAGTTTCGGCCCTCTTTAGCGATCATCATCATTAGTTAGATGCATCACTCAGGAAAAGACACATCAGTGCATCCATTTTCAGAACAATACATCATTAACAAGCACAAAGAGTCCATTACTGCGGGTCAGAGCTCACAACTCAGCCCTGCCCAAGATTCCTATTCTCAGATCAATCAACCCGCAATCAATTTTCCCACAAAACAACAACAACCTAGTGTTCTGTATATAGAAGGGAAGGAAAGGAGCTCCAAATATAAATCACTCAACGTTCTCAGCAACTCAAAGCAGCCTCGCACTTCGGAATGATTTACTGAAAGATTTTACACGCTGAACGGTTTCAGCTCTGAGATCTCAGCCGAACCGTCACCGACTGACTGAGGCGCAGACACACGTAACCGTCATCTGGAGGAGTGCAAATTAATCTTTTTACAGCATTACACTTACAACAAAGCAAACACCTGTCATTCTGGATTTGAAGTGCCTTTCGCTTTAAATGGCCGTGTTTACAGGGCACCGCTAAACAAGAGGATTAGAGAGGCCACTCAGTCAGATCAGCAAGACAGACCTGATAACTACATGAAGAGCACAAATCAAAGTGCAGGAAAAAAAAGAGGGAAACAGTTCCAGGGAACTAGAGGGACTACTTTCTTTGTGAGAACTTACATCATCTGTAATCAAGCAGCTAAGTAGAGCTCTGCCATCAGTAAAACGTTTATTTATTTGCTTTATTTTTGGAAAAAAGAGCATTTTTTGTGATGGCCAGCTAAGTTTTTCATATTCTCTATTATTATGAGGGCATTCGGTCATCGAAAACAGTTAAGCTAGTCATAAACATACGTGGCCACAATAAACGAACATGCAGCTAAACACAGATGTGCAACCAAATACACATATCGCTGCTGTCTCCACTTTTTCCGTTTTTCCGTTTTTCACATAATTTGAAAATGCCTGTTGCTCTTTACATGATGTGTAAATTTCATGAAGAACGGACCAAAATAAATGGCCAAAATATACTTGAAAAAAAGTCTGGTTCCATTGAATTACATTAAAAGTAAAGCATGTTTTTTCCTTCTCCTGTAAAGTTACCATTTTGGAGATACAAGATTTTGTTCAGGAACGATATACAGGCCAACAGACAGAATGGAATAAACTTTACGGTCTTGTCTTAACAGGGCAAAGATGCCCTCTAGGTTGCAACATAGCAGGGCTTGGAGACTTAGAGGTACTAAAGGACACTGGGCCGGGAGAGGAGCTGGCAGACCTGTGAGAAGGACTGGCGGACGTGGGCCAGTAACTAGCAGACTATAGTTGGGGGACGTACGAGTGGAACAGACTACAGGTGCTAGCGGACTTGGAGCTGGAGGTAGTCGTCTAAAATTGGTGGATGTACTAGCAGACTTCGGGGAGGTGCTAGTAAACTACTCTTGGGGCAGGTGCTAGCAGACTTGGGGCAGGAAATAGTTGACGACACAAGGCGGATGCTGGTGGACTTGAAGGAGGCGTGAGTAACTTGCAGGAGGCGCTAACAGACCAGGCGTTCCCAACCCCAGTCCTGGGGACCCCATGCTCTGTATGTTTTTTGTGTTTTCCTTGCTCTACACTCTGACTCAGCCCATGAGGAGCTTATTATTCAGCTATCGCACTGCTTCAGGTGCCCTAGATCAGACCAAACACAAAATGTCCACAGTGTGAGGTCACCAGGAGTGGGATTGGGAATCCCTGTAGTAGACTACACTTGGGGGAGGTGCTAGTTGACTACAGAAGACTACATTAGTAGATTACAACTACTGAGGGCTTGCATGATCTTAAAATGTTATACACACAACAAGGAAAATGTAAAAAAAAAAATAAATAATAAAAAATAAAGCACAGGATTTGTTCTTAATATCAGCTGATATTAAAAAAAAAAACAAAAAAAACCCACAAAACATTAACACCCACACGTGTCTATATAAGAAATCAACAGTCCACCAAAAACTAGTTTTATTAGCTGACCTAGAAAACCTATTTATGAAGAGCTGGTTTACTTGTGAAGAGGCTGGAGGGATTACCTGAACTGGAACTGCTGGAGGAATCATCCGAGTCACTGGAGGAGTCCGAGTCACTCTCACTGTCTGAGCTGTCGCTGTCAGAAGAGGAGTCCGAGGAGGAGGAAGAAGAGGATGAGGAAGTGTCCGATGACTCCACATCCTGCTTCTGGGTCATAATCATTTTAGGGGCGTTTTTCAGGTGTTCTCTCAGTTCATCCCTGGTAGAGACAGAAAGTGACAGATTATTATTACTGTTTCTATTATTATGTTTTCTTATAACATAACTGTTATTAACTGAGTCATATTATTAACTATGAGTCATATTTTTTTTTACTGTGTACGTTCAGGTATATCAGTTAAACGTGATGATTTATTTTTGGAAAAAAGAGCATTTTTTGTGATGAACAGCCAAACGGATGTACAAATTTTTCATGTTCTCTATTATCATGAGGGCATTTGGTCCTTGAAAAGGGCTGAGCTAGTCCTAACAACACGAACACACACGAAAACAAACATGGCCTCGAGAAATGAACACGAAGCTAAACATGGACGTGCAAAAAAATACATATATACAGGCTGACAGAAGGAGAGAAAGAGTCACATTACTTTTACTGTGTATGTTCAGGTATAACAGTCAAACTTTACTGTGCTTTGGCAATACTGTAGTCAAAACATTCGTTCCAATAAAGAAATAAACTGAGAAAGAGAGACGAGAAGAAGAAAGAGAAACAGTTCATTTGCACACAACAGATCAGCCAAGAAACAATGAGGCCCTGTAATCAAGCCAAGACTCGCAAACAGCTCTTACGTCAGACCGCCGAGGCCGATCGACGTGAAGAAATTGATGGCAAATCTCGTGTTCCTCGGGTTGTCACGAGGGAAAAGGCCCTCGAAGAAAGGCTGCAAGGTCCTGCGGAAAAAACAAAGACAGGTATGTTGCTTCTGTGCGTCTCTTCTGAAAGATAATGCTTAATCTCCACTAATACAGCCTGGATCAACCGTACAGAAGAAACAGGGAGCGAAATCCAAAAAAGGTCACGAATATCACTGAATTACTTTGATTCCAGAGAGAAAACTTTGCTTTCAAATGCAGTTCAACATTTAATATTGTTAATGTTCCACTCTGGTTGGACTTTTATCAAACATACGCAACTTAGACTGATTTGACTGTGTTATTTTAACAGACATAACATGCTCACAATACGCTGTATTAGTCATTATTTACAGTCATATGCAAATTTTTGGGGCGGTCCAGGTCAAATGACATGTTTTGCAGATTTTCTAAGTGTAAATATGTTACATATTTGCACATTTTAATACACAATTACTGCTCATTTGCTAAATTTAACATATTGAAAAAAATATGTGGCCTTTGCAAAAGTTACTGCACATTTGATGTTACTTATTTTTCAATTTCTTTTTCCAGTACAGAGCTGTCAAACAAAACCATTTATCATAATTAATAGCATTATTTTGTGTAGTTAATTGTAATTAATCACATTTTTTCTTATTTGCTAAAATTTGACACAAGGATTTCCCCCAATTTAAAAAGCACTGCTTTTTGTTATAGTTACATGATCGGACCAGAAAAAGCTTCATCAGCGTCTACTTTTAATGCTACTTTTACCAACTCAGTAACATTATTTTCATCGTGTGCAGTAGTTTAAATTTCATTACCAACGTCCAGTGAGAGCAACAGTGGCTGCACGTGCCAACCAATGAGTGCACATGTAACATACATATATACAGTCAATGGTTCTCTGTTCATACAGCTGTGGATTTTTATCCATAGTTCTCCCTTGAGCTTCGTCCAGGGAAGTGAACAACAGGGCCTTTTGAGGTAATTTAAAATGTTTGTTGTCCTTTACATTGTGTGTAAATTTAACAGTGAATGGACCAACAGAAACAGCCCAAAATGACATGGAAAAAAATCTGGATTCACTGACTTACATTAAAAGTACAGTATGTTTTTCCCTTCTCCTGTAAAGTCACCATTTTGGAGATACGAGGTTTTGTTCCAACAGAAACTGGGTTTCAGCCTGCACTACTATGGATGATGTGAAAGGGTTAAACTAGGAAAATGCAATAACTGTGTTAAAAACCTTGACATTAATAATTTATTGTGTTTTTTGAAGCCCTGGTTCAGAATAATGTTAATTCAGATCAATTAATTGCATGTTTTATTTCTAATCCATGATTTCAATGAAAATACACTGTAATAAATTACTGTAGTTTTAAAGTTAGCCACATTATCAGCCTGTTTTTGATTATGTTCTGTGAAAAAATGTTTTTTTGTCCTAGCCCATGTACTCACATGTCTTTCAGTCGCTCATTGAGTTTAGGCAGCCCCATGTAGGCACACAGTTCCTGGAAAAGAATCTTCACGAAAATACGACTGGACGACGTCGTCGTTTCCTCGCTCATTTTCATGCATTCCAGGACCTGGGGGAAAATCAGAACAATTTGTTTTTCTTCAATGCAATGCAATTACACGAAAAAAAGAAAAAGGGACGTTAACTCGTCAAAGGCCTCCATGAGGAAATCAATACCGTTTCCAGCCATATGTGAGGAGTTGTTAAGTCAAATAGGATTATGGCTGGAGGGATGCATTAGTTTATTAGGCGGGACTGAATGCTGAATCAGTAAATGGGTTTTAAAGTGAAATCGTTATGGGCACTCACGCTCCACGGGACGGAGTCGGTGTATAAGAGGTGAGCGAACATTCGGGCAACGTTGCGCAGTTTGTTGGTCTCCAGCCTGTGAATGGTTTCGTACTGCTCCTGGAAGATCGCCTCGAAACTCTCCATGTACTCTTTCTTCAGCAGGCAAAACCTCTGCAGGGGCAGACAGATGAGAAACATTAGAGACATGGAGAAACAAGGGAAAAACTGTGCTGCTGACTGGAGGAAAGTTTTATTGCAATGGGAAATTGATTATGATATGTTGGTGTCATGCAAAGCACTTTCCAATAGTTCATCAAATATCTGTTCATTAACTACTATGGAGATCCAAATATTAAAATGATTCAGAATGCACACTTTCAATATCTTATGGATAAACAAAGGACAGTGAAAAAAATGAAAAAGCACTTGCTAATTATTATGTCAACCAATCAAAACCTCAGTGTAAGTAACAACTGTATTTGAGGCAGGCTGAGAGTCACTCCCTCCTACACTCAGCTAGTTTTAGTGCTGAATCTAGGCAGTAAATCTCATCACTCAAGTACAAAAATTGTACCGAGTCCTGAAATAGCAGTGATGCTCTCAGCACACTGGAGATAAACGTGGAGGGGACCATTATGTGTATTTAAGGACTGTGAGTGTGTTTAAAGCCCCTGCCTACTCATGATTTTCTTCTATTATCTACGTTTTTTGTAATGTTTTCACAATGAACTGTCTGAGAACGAATGACGCTGGTTCCTTCCGTTGAGAGATTACGGAAATAACTTTTTCTGCCGTTTCCTTCAGATCGATTTCAGTTATGTGGGACTAAATTTGATGCTCCTGTGTGCAACGAAAGAGATATGAGACTAGATTTTTTTCTATCACAAGCTCCAAGCTGTATGTGCTCTGGCTGACTAGCTGAGCTTTGTGTGTTTAGGTTTGGTGTCGACCGATCTGCGAACTGGTTGTGCCCATTAAAATAGCAGCCCTGAACCCGCTACTGCAGTAGAGTATAAACAAGAGAGACAGAGACAAGACTCACCCCGGCCAGGAGGCCGAAGAACTTCTCGTAGGTCCTCTGCTGGGCACAGCAGTCCAGGATCATGTTGCACAGCTCTTTCTGTAGAGAAAGACAGAAAACAGTTGGTTCCATCAATTCATTAACACAAACCTTCGCCTAACATGATCAAAAAGCCCTTAGAGACAGGTAGGCCTGAACCAGTCCAGGTCCTACAGAGGCCTCAAACAGGGACAATGAGCAACAGGACTTCTTATCCCAAATACAGCCAACCAGCCCAGTCTTGTTTGGTGTCTGAAGTTTGCTGCTACAGTTTTACACTCTAGACTAATGAAGCTCACAGGTAATGGAAGCTTACATCACATCAAACAATGCAAATTGCATAATTACATCCAAATAACATTACATCAAATAACATAACTGACAAAAGTACAGACAAAATCCATGACAAACTTTTTAGATGGACGTTTCGACTGTTTTTAGCTAACTTTTTCCATTTTTATAGACAGAAATATAGGGTGATTCAAAAATTCAAAAAGATTCATCCGATTTCAAAGCGCCAAATTTCTACAACCGTGAGGCGACTAGGAACCAATCACAATCCAATTGAAAGAGGGGGTCAGAGTTTCTGACTGTCGCTGGAAGATGGCTCCCTTCAGTCTGCGAGGAGATGAGACCCCTGAGCAGAAAGCGTTCTGCGTTCTCCACTTCAATAAGAGTGAATCCGTCATAACTGTGCAGTGTGATTTTCGTGGGCAGTGAAGCTCCAACAGCTCAGAGTGTTCGTCGTTGGTTCCACAACACTGGATGATCTCCAAAATCGCACTGAAAGAGCCGTGAGTGCAGCGACACCCGACACGCTCAATCCAGCATGGGATGAATCTGACTATAGTGTTGATGTTGTCCGTACAGCTGGAGGAGGTTCATATTGAGACCTTGTAAAATTACATAAACTTTATGCTCATTTAAACCATTTACAGTTCACTGCATTGTACAGTAATGATTTACAAGTGAAATTAATCATTTTGAAATTGGATGAATCTTTTTAAATCACCCTGTATATTATACAGTGTAAGACACTACATAAACAAGTCTTTTTGAAATAACTGCGGTTTGTGGTGCTAATATGTGGACATTAGGCTCACAGCTCCAGTTTAAAACTAAAGAAGCAAGCTTCAAACGCCAAACATGTCTTGGCTGATCAACTACATTTGAGCTAAGGGGAAAACTGTGTGTATTTGACTTTGTTTTCCCAAACTATTCCTTTGAGCAGGAGCCCAGCAGGAACCCTGGCAGGATTCTAAGCTCCCAGACTGACTCCTCACATCTCCACTAGAACATCAGCTTATTGATTTCAGAAGTGCAGCCACAGCTTTGGACCAGAGAGAAAAACCAGCACATCATCCATCTTCAGATCAGACGCATGTGGTCCACAATCCAGCTGAATTACTGCACTGATGAAATCAGAGAAGGTTCAGGATTGCTCTGTATGAGGCCAGAAGATGAACGCGGACAACAGTGGATGAAGATGAATGTAACTTTATAAAACGCCACTGAGAAGCAAACAGTGTGAGCTTTAAAGACGTGCAGCTAAAAAGTGGATCTTCTGCTCAAATTACTGTAAACATGTGTTTGATCAGAGAAGCTGTGGGATCTTTCCTTCCAGTTATTAGGGCTGGCTTGTGGTACAACACACTTATCACGATAGATCACAATTCCCTATCACAGTGCATCATGATATCGCGATATGATCACCATAATTAGCACTTGAACGCTCTGCTATGATGAATGTGTAGCAAACAGCAAGCCGTGTGTAGAAGCTCTGGGACAGGCGTGTCCTAAGCTACGTTCACATTACAAGCCTCATTTCTCAAATCTGATTTTTTGCTCAAATCCGATCTCTGACATGATGGTTCACACTCGTTTAGGTAAGTGATTCAAATCTGTCATTAATGTGACGAACCGGCGTCCTGAAATGACCCTCATGAGCACATCCTACTCAGTAACGTCACGTGAATGAATCACGACCATCATCAGCACAAACTAACGAGCAGAACGAGCTTCGCTGAGAAGATCATTAACTCTGATCAGCTCTCAGCTTCATTATTAGAGCGAGACGAAGGAGAAAAAGGTGAGATGAGCTGCTTTTCCACCGTTTACAGGCTTTAACTTCTGATCGGCGCTGCTGCCATGGTAACACTGAATGATGGCGCAGTGGGAAAAAAAGCACATGAATTCCGATCTGAGCGTCACATTAAGGTCGCATGGCCACAAATCAGATACATATCCGATCTAGGACCACATATGAAAGTGGCTCAGGTCGGATTTGAAAAGATCAGATTTGTGTCCGAACAGCCCTGAAAACATCAGATCTGAGTCACACTAGGGCAAAAAATCAGATTTGTGCCACTTCAGCCTGGTAATGTGAACGTAGCCGTAGAGATCTACCATCCTGGAAAGTTCAGCTCCAGTACTCTTGGCGCTTCACTACCTGGATCAGCTGTGTTAGGTTAGTGTTGGGGCTAATCTCTGCAGGGTGGTAGTTCTCCAGGACCTGGATTAGGAACCGCTGCTCGGACTGCCGAGATTAGTTGACACAGTCGATTAGGCATCAACAATGTTATGGTAAAAAGGTCTCTAGCTGCTAGCATTTACGTTAATAAAGCTAGCACTATAACTTCCCACCAGTGTTAATTTGAACTCTTTCCAAAATGATCATTCTAAAAACAGCGACTGACATCAAATCACTACTACAGTTTACATTCTTCATGTCATGGTCATGTAGTGCTTGTTGAATTTATTCTCACCTGAAAGAGCTAAAAATTACTAAACAGCAAGTCAGAGAAAAACCGAGCTCACACAAATGTACAGTACTCAGAGTTATCAAACCTACTGTTAAGAAGAACTTTCGTTGTTTTTTTAAGACTCATCACATTTCAGTAAAGGTATTTTTGTTTTTCATATTTTATTTGTTCAGCCTTCAGTAGGGGGACTTGCTTCATTTAATCAGAAGTATAGCTCAACCAACTGTTTCTTTCACACTTGTGCATTTATATTTCAACATGGGTATCAGTCAGTCAGTCAGTCAGTAACTCAGTAAGAGACTGTGACTCTCAGACTGTTCTGCTTGGTGGTCCAGCAATAACAACAAACAATGCATCTGACAAAGTGGGCCACTGAATGATGTTCCAAATTAACAATTTTATAATGATCATAACTAAGAAAAAGTATTGAACTTGGATTGGTACCTGTCTGGCAGTTAATAAGGCCAGCATTGGTGTTGATAATGAACCGGTGCATCAGATAGGTGCTTGGCTTGAGCCAAATAATGACAGTATTGCGAATAACAGAGTTTACTGAATGCTTAACGCACAGCTACAGTAGCCTTCGGGCCACTACACATGGTTAATCTTCAGCCGTTTTATTATTTAAATTTAAATGGCTGTAAACATTCAATTTATAGAACAAGCAAACCTACAGCAAGAACTACCAAACCATATCAAGAACAAACATCTGGTCACGAAGCAAGTTTACTTTCTCCAGTGTAAGCAAAACGATTGTGGTAACACCTAAAAGAGGGTACTAGAAGAAGATGCCGCAGATCTCAGCGTCACCATAAGGAGCATCCCGCAGTCTCTCTACGGCTCCAAGGACCCCCCTCCCCCAGCCCCACAAAGATACCACCAACTGGCAATCTCTAGGGGGCACGACTGGAGGACAGCATATTGCACGCAATCTTGCAAGCCTAATAGGTGCATTACTAGTTCAAAGAATTGATGCAAAATCATTTTAAAAATTGTGATTCAGTGATTATCATAATAGTAATATTGGCAAAGATCTACTGTCCGCTGTCGTTTTCTGTGGCCTGGAGGCCAATATAGAGCAGCAGAGAGCACGTCTCTCTAGAGAAGCCAACAGACAGCAGCAGGACACATTAAGCGTGACAGCAAGGTGTACCGATCACACAGACGAGTCTGATTCAGCTTGCAGGCCTTTAGCAGTCACACTTTCACCATCTCCATCACTCCACCTACTCCCCCTCTGTCCGTTCTCGAATCAGTCCTTTCCCCCCACCCTTCTCTTCTCTATCTTTCTTCCTCTTATCTTTCTCTCACTTCCTCACATTCCTTTCCATCTCCTTAGCTCAGAGCTGATATCAGAAACACTATTAACAAAGCACACCAGCATGTACGAGGAGTAAGTCATGATAAATTGTAAATGATGCAAATACAGAATACAACAAATCTAGTACTGAAATAGAGGATCAGTCTCAAACGCTATATCCACAGAGGATCATGGATTGTCCAATGTCAAAATGGACAGAATTATGTGAATCTTGCCTGCCGGGCTAGTAGGCCATCCACACGCTCATGTGTACGCACCTCCTTGCACCTGTTTTTATCAGAAGAACGGGAAACCAAATGCTTATCATGCTAGAACTGAGCTAATTACATTTACAAAGTAGTTGCCAGCTCTGCACACCATGACAACAACCACTCATCATCTAAGCAACTCATCCTCCTGAGTTGCAGGGTTGCTGGAGCCTATCCCCGGGCGGAATGCACCCTGGACAGGTCACCCGTCCATCACTGGGCCTATAACAACAATGAGTTTCCAAATTATTCAAGAGTTGTCCAACACTTTCTTTGGTCTTACCAACGTGTTTCCTGGTGGCCACAAGCCACTGTATACCACCTTTTCTACGGGTGTGTCATGATTGCATGTCAGTAAAATGGCCCCTTCGTGTAAAAACAGCTGACTATGAAGTCTGGTTTGTGATACTAATCAGTCATTGTTCACTTTGTTCACAGACAACTGTCAAAGCGCTGTTTAGTTTTAACCAAAACTGCTCTACACTGGTCACACGGTCATTCTGACAGACTGTAGTACACGTCAGGAAGCACAGGGGGCGATACGGCTTCTGTTTTGCTGGGAAAAAAATAAAATAAAAAAATAAATAAATAAATAAAACGCTTGCCACACCAACGGAACTTGAAAAGATGGCAGCAAAAAAGGGAGAGGAACCGAAGCGGACTTAACGATTTAATTAGTCGCTTAACTGAATAGTCAAGAGATCGACTGATCATTGAAATTATTCATTT